TGCATACACGGCGGAGGAGGTGGCTTTCATAGCTGCCTGCCCAAAGTGCCTAGACCCACAGTCGGGACCAGGAAAATAAGGATATTTTTGGCAAGCCTGGGAGCATCACAGAATTAAAAGGAAAAAGCAAATTCACCCCTTGTGAAACCGTTGCCATAGCAACTCAGCACAACCGTGGGGGGGCGGGGATGCTGTCTCATCAGAGCACATCACCTTTGATTAAAAAATAATGGAGGGAACATGTGTTGGGGGGGACAGAAATGCTCAGATGGCATGGTCCAGGGCCCCCGTCGTCCATGAAGCACCCACAGTCCACGGCAAGAACTCAGGGGATCCAGCCCAGCCCCAGGGCCACAGATTCAGAGGAGACGGGCTGAGAACCTCCAGGAGAAATAGCCAGGACCGGCTGCACCTGGTGGCTTCCCCTACGGCCTGAGGTGTCCTGTGGGTGGAGGGGTCTCTGTGTCTCCGCTGTGCCTGGCCAATGCTGCTGGATACCCGCAGTCACACCAACCCAAGAAGATGGGGAGTTTTGAAGCTTCCCCTTGGGGAACAGCTGGCAAAGGTTGTCATAGATTAATACTCGCTCTACCCCAATTAACTCGATAGTGTCTCTGGTGTGATTCAACAGCATCATTGGAACCAAACAGGTGTCCCCTGTGCGGGCTGCAGTCTCCTCATCATATTAAATTCCTTTCCGCTGAGCAGGGCCTTGGGGGGAGGGAAATTTGTTTAATTGGCTAAACAGACATCTCACTGAGCATCCACTACATGCCAGGGAGTCCGGCTCGAAGCCAGAGCACTAACAGAAAACCCATGCAATTCCTGGTTTGGAGGGAGCGAAAGAGAGGGAGAGAGAGAGAGAGAGAGAGAGAGAGAGAGAGAGAGAGAGAGAGAGAGAGAGAACAAAATAAAATTGAAATAGAGCATCGTTCTAACCCCGAGAGCACGTCCACCCTGCAGTGACAGCTGGGCACGGCACACCCGGTGCGTTTCCCTCCTGAAATGGATCCTCTGGGTTGTTCTATTTTATTTGAGCTGCAGGGCGCACGTGAGGATGTCCTACATAAGTAGGCTGGGTGCAGGTGGAGTTCAGCTCCTAGCAGGCCATTCCCCCGCCCCCACCATAGTGGCCCAGGTACCCAGTGTGTTGCCACGTGCCCCCTCCCTTGCCCCCTGCCCCCAGCAGTGTCCAGCTTCTGCCAGCCTCTCGGAATACGTTTCAACTTCCCCGCCTCTTATGGCAAAATGACTTTCAGGAGTAACATCGACCACGCAAGGCCAGGTACTCCACCGAGGTGCACGTCGGGACCTCCTGAAAGGCTTTTTAAAGCGCTGGCATCTCCTCAACCAGCGTAGCTCCCTGGTGAACCCACGGCCCTCCCCCCCGGCAAGGACACCTGTATGCGTGGAAGAGGACCACACGGAGGTGGCTGGCCCTGCGGACACAGCCAGCTGGCGACACACGCAGCCTCGCTCACCGTCATTCTGGTACACGCAACTGGGTCAGAGCCAGAGAAAGACTCTTCCCTGGCCCACCTGTGATCGGGAAGCCACGTGAGAAGCCCCTGACTTCACGGAACAGGAAGAGAGCAGACTGGGTAAGGGAGGCAACAGGCCGGGGAAGGGAGACAGGCCCACGCCCCTGCATGCGTGATCCCTGCTGGCCAGCGAGGCCGAGGGTGATCGGCCCTGACGATGACGGTCTCGGCTTCACCCGTATCCCAGCCACGCCCCAAACATCACATGGAAAGTCTTTTCTTTTCATGAGATAAATTCTGGACGGTCGTCTTCTCTGTGACTCAGGACAGGGAAGGGCCGTCCCTCAGCAGAGCCAGTGTGGAAAACACAACATGCCAGGAAAGCAAACCAGGGCCAGGATGTGACTTTGGTTCCCTCTCAAAAGGACGTCACAGCCCTGCCCGTCAGGTGGCGAGCATTTTTTTAAAATTTTATATATATTTTTTATTTTAAAGATTTGGGGTACATTTCAGGATTAGGGATATAAGTGGTCAGCGTACAGGTAAAGTTCGGGCCTCCCTTTGGTTCCCACTTGGCCTGGTTTGAGATCAGGTACCCTTATTGATGTTGGGTCTTCCCCATTGGCAGTATCCCGCTACTGCCAATCCCTTTCTCATAGTATTATGGTAAATGTACAGGTTTGGCTTATGAGTGAGAATATGTGGGACTCAGTTCTTTGTTTCTGTGATGAATCACTGAGTGTAATGGACTCTAAATCCATCCAAGTTGCTGCAAAATCCATGTTTGTCCTTCTTTATGGCTGCGTAATATTCCATTGTGTGTGTGTACCACATTTTTTTTTATCCCATCCAGTTTCAATGGGCAGCACGGTTGGCTCCGTGTTTTTGCTGTGGTGAATAGTGTGGCAATAAACATGCGCGTGCAGGTTTCTTTTTGGTAGAATGATTTGAGTTCCTCCGGGTATATTCTCAGTAGGGGAACTGCTGGGTCGTATGGAAGGTCAGGTTCTAGTTCTTTTAGAAATTGCCACACTGTCTTCCAGAGAGGTTGCACTAGTTTGCATTCCCACCGCAGTGTAGAAGCATTCCTTTTTCTCTGCATCCTCACCAGCACCTGTTGTTGTTTGTTTTATTAATGATGGCCATTCTTGCTGGGGTTAGGTGGTGTCTCAATGTGGTTTTGATTTGCACTTCTCTGATAATGAGTGAGGCTGAGCACCTTTTCATGTGATTGTTGGCTGCCCAGATCTCTTCTTTTGAGAAGCGTCTATTCATGACTTTTGCCCACTTTTTAATGGGGCTGTTTGCACGTTTGAGCTGCTTGTAGATCCTGGATGTTAGGCCTTTGTGAGATATACAGTTGGCAAAGATTTTTCCCATTCTGTGGGCTGTCTCCCTGCTCTCTTGATGGCTTCTTTTGCTTTGCAGAAGATTTTCAATTTAATGAGGTCCCACTTGTCTACCTTAGGAGAGCACTTTTTAAGAGGTCATTTTTTGGCCAGGCGCAGTGGCTCACACCTGTAGTCCCAGCATTTTGGGAGGCCGAAGCAGGAGGTTCGCTTGAGGCCAGGAGTTCTAAACCATCCTGGGAAACATAGCAAGACCTCATCTCTACAAAAAATAAAAATAGCCGGGCTCGGTGGCTCAGCCTGTAATCCCGCACCTTTGGGAGGCTGAGGTGAGTGGATTGCCTGAGCGCGCGGGTTCGAGACCCGCCTGGGCAACCTGGGGAGACCTCATCTCTACAATAAATCAAAAATTAGCCGGGCGTGGTAGCGCGCGCCTGTAGTTCCAGCTACTCGGAAGGCTGAGACGGAAGGATCGCCGGAGCCCAGCAGGTCGAGGCTG